TAGTAATTTATAACCCTTTAAGCAGACACCTCTAGCGTAGGTACTAAGCATAGTTAGATTAGTATAAAGGATTTGTGCAAATTACCGTAAGCTGATAGTGGATCTAAAGTCGTAAATATACAGGAGAAGTAGACTTTATTACATTATACAAGGGATCGTTACGGAGATGCGCAAGTCTCATACACATGAGAGATGTGCTACTGTACCTTTCCTGGAGGCGATGGTACGTTGAGCCTTCTAATGTCCCAGTTGGCCGTAGTTCAGGTGACGGGTCCATATGTAGTAGGAAGAAGATTAGGAGGAGGGGGAGGGGGAGGGGGAGGAGGAGGAGGAGTAGTAGTAGTAGTAGTAGTAGTAGTAGAAGAAGAAGAAGAAGAAGAAGAAGGAAGTCGCAATCGACCAGAGGCGCGCATGAGCATCTGCAGCAAAGATGGTTTTCCAAAAACCGCCCACAGCACTGCAGAGTGGGACAAGGCAACTGCGTGTTTGAAGAAAGAGGCAAAAGAGTGCAAGAGGGCCAGCAGACTAGAGTAAGACTAGGTAGAGTAGAGTTACTATGTACCTAGCTCGCTGGACAGTGGGAGCGGACGGGCAGCAGGGCAGCAGGGCAGCAGGGCGGCAGGGAAACCTGAATGATGTCGTTGCTTGGCAGAACCAGGTACTGAGCGGGCGGGCGTTGGCCGTGGGCAGGCGGGCAAACGAAGGTTCTTCCAAGGAGAGAGCTGTGTAGGGTAGGGCCGATTGTCCGGGCGGGGCAGGGAGTGATGGATTGTCGGCACACAACCGTGGTGAGGGAGACGGCCTCACATGTCAGCGGTGCCCTTCTTCAAATGGGGGTAGCTAGAGTACAAACAGCAAAGAGAGAGGAATATCAACAATCAGCAATCAACAATCAACAGCAGCTCGCCAGCTGAGCCATGACTGCCCTGCCAATGTGCTGGCTGGACGGTCAAACACAGACTACTTTCCTTCCAAGACAAACAGGCCTGGGAGGCGGCGGCAACCTTTGTTGTCGGGTGGTGCAGCCGCCGGGCGCGCTTAGAGAGGCAACTCCTACGGTACCGGTACTAGTTGTCTCGGCTGGTTTGAGGATCACGTTACTTGTCTTGTGCCATCAAAATAGCCAGCATGTAGCAGTGGCAAATCACATGATACTCAAACTACCCGAGCGCATGAGTAGCCTACCAGGGCTTGTCTTGCTTGGCGTGTGCATGTGGTGGTTCTCGGTGTATGCAGGACTCTAGCAATGCAATGCTGTGTGTAGAGTAGTACTGGGTGTATATCTGTATAGATCCTACATCTACCCACTCCAGCAGCAGAGGAGACTGTAATGGGGGAGTAGAGTACTGCGATAGATAGTAGGTAGGTAGACAACAGGTAGGTACCTAAGCGACCAAGACATCAGCATACAAGGCCTGATTTCAACACACAGCGCCCCCTCGACACCTGCAATCGGGCTGCATTGGCCTGGCCAAACAGGTCGTACCTAGTTAGACCTAGAGTAGTATTCATCTGCACCTCTCGAGCCAGACAGACTACTGGACGGGCGATGCTGGTCTGGGGCTGGCATAGTTGGGTAGGCATGGTACGTAACCACGGTGCGCAATTGTCCAAGACCCAAAGCCTGGGTGACACGCGTGTCTGTCCCCCGCGCGGGGCGGGCTGCAATGGGCGCACACCTAGTAGTCGCAATAGAGTAGCACGAGAGCACACCCAACTGTGCATGTGGTACCTAGGCAAGTACTACTATGAGTAGGCAGGTGTAGAGTACCAGGTAGCATTGCCCTACTACGATGCCCAACTCCTCCCCTTCCCTTCCCTTCCCTTCCCTTCCCCTGAGAGCGAGACAACAACGCCCAATGGCAACAACAAATCTCGGGCCCAACAGATGGTCTTCATCCCAACAACACACCCGACACCCCCCCCTATGTACGCCCACCACATAACCTAGCTTACTTGCTACCCTACATATATATGGCCGTAGCTATCTTTCACATCGTACCAAACGTCCAGTCGGCACTCCAGTGGTATTCCTGCCCCGGCCCGAAGATTTGCTTCTCCAGCCGACCCCACTCTGGACTGTTCAACATCGTTAGCCCGAGCTTCAACATCACGTCATCCTCATCCATTCGTCCACTCACTGATTGATCCCATCCACATAGTCATGCGCCTCGATGGCGATGCAGCCGTCGCGAGGAATCTTGCGGTCCTGTCCCGCCACACCCTGCGTGCTCTTGAAATCCGTCTTGCCGTCATTCCAATTGCACGTGTACAGCACAACAGCGTCCTGGTTGGTCGTCAATTCTGCCTGGATCCCACTCCACCGACTGCTCAGCGTCAGCACAGTTGCGCTCTTGTCTCGGTTTTCATTAAACGCCCAGGCCCCGTTGTAACCATGGCATCCTGCGCCGCAGTGATTCTCAAACTCCGCCCGATCTGATGCAAAGCCAAGTGCACGAGGGGTAGACGCAAAGTCGCTCATGTCTCCTGGAGCAACATCTGCAATGACGCCTGTGGGGAGTGCATTGGCATCAGCTTCCAACACGCGTTTGGCCTCGGGCATGTACAAAGTATGGTTCCATATCGTTCGATTCTCGGGATTCGCAAACGCATCCAGCTGGAAGTACGTGTGCTGGGTGAGCATGATGGGCGTCTTGTGCTCAGGGGACATGGCATCCATGACAATACTCCACTTGTTCTTCGAGACAGAGTACGTGACGCTCGCCAGCACACGTCCCGGCATTCCAGTCGAGTTTGACGGGTCGTCGATTCCAAACGTAATCGAGCTGTTGGTCGAGTTCTTGACTTCCCAGGTTCGGTAAGACCAATTGTTCGTACCGCCATGGAGCGTGTTGGGTCCGTCGTTCAGCGGAGTGTGGTAGGTAACGTTATCAATCTTGAACTGTCCTTTTCCGATGCGGTTGACGTAGCGACCAGGGATCGCATTGTATACTGGATGCCCAGGATCGACCGCTAGAACATGTCAGACTTGTCCCTGCCGTCATCTTGACTCTTCCACATACGGTAGTAAGACGTGTTGTCATAGCCTAGGACGATGTCGCGCTCAATGCCATTCTTGTCTAGTGTGCGTTAGTCACTTGAAGCAGATTCAACATGTCGGTCGCACCTTTCACAAAGAGATTGGTGAGCGTTGCGCCATACGGGATAAACTGCGCCTTGATCCCTTCGGCCTCCAGTGTATACCGGCCATCTGCATCGGGACGTAAAGGCTCTGATTGGGCCATCACAACGCTCTGTGTAGCATAGAGCGCGAGAATGCTCGTGAAGAACAGCATGGAGGGGAGATTCAACTGGTCTGCTTCTTGGTAATGGTGGTGAACCGGTCGATAGAGACGGGCCCCAGACCAGAAGAGACAACGGCATTTATTGTAAATGCCTTCACGAGCACGCCCCCGCTCGAAATGTGCCCGTCTCAATTCCTGGCAGAAGTTTCATATTTGGTCTGCCTGTCCCATGGATGCAGCCAGGATTAGCCGGCATCTCGGCCATCTAAAGCAATCTGCCTGCCATTTTACCCCGGAGAATATAGAGCGACACGCTGCATCACTGAGGGGCCACTCTGGCTTGATCGGAAGAATCAAGTGCGTTTTATATTCAGGAGGAACTCGACTGGAGAAATGACATGAACATCTGAGCAATGATCGACTGTGGCGTTGTGAGAAGACGTGGATGTGGTCAGTCGGGGTAAGGCGTGGGGTAAAGCCATCTGGTCAAGCCGGTTGTTCCTTCCTGAACCACATTCATAGGACTGACATCGCACCTGCCACCCACGTACGGAGGATTTCCTCTCTCGGGGCTGCCTGTCATGGAAAATCACGAGCGCTTAAACTGGTTCCCATGTGGCTTCTCCGCCATCACTCCTTGGCCTTTTGTCCCTATTTACACCGCAATACCCTATATCCTACGCCACTTCGATATCGAGCCCTAGGCAAACACTTCTTCCACATAGTGCGGCGCTTCCAAGCACTGTAATGGGAGTTATCGAATTTCTCTGTGACAGCCGGTTCCACCGCACCTTCGTTCTTCCACCGAATCCTAATAACGACAGGCTCAAGTCCTATCGGACCTCTTATGCCGACTTTGGCGATGTTGAAAGTAACGCAGTGATCCTGTTCTGTGGAGCGCTCATGGGCACACGGTTCTGCTACTCACCTCTCGACCAACTTGCCAAAGCATACAACGTCCGCATTCTACATCCAGATCGGCCAGGAATAGGCGGTAGCGATTCGGTCGAGCTTGACAAGCGCATACAGATATGGCTTGGCAGGTTCCACTGCACCGACTGCGCGCTTCAAGACTAACATGTACTAGAAATGGTCCCTCAACTACTAAAACACCTCAAAGTCTCTCACGTGTCACTCGCAAGCCATAGCGGAGGTGACATCTACCTCATCAACACAGTCCTCACGTACCCGAATCTGCTACATCCTATCAATCCTTACCTATGCTTCTTTGCCCCCTGGGTCCATCCTGCACACTCAAAGCTCACACATCTTCGCGCGACTGAACTATTGCCTGCACCCATGATTGGAAAGTTTGCCTCAGTAGCCAGGTTCATTAGCGAGAATGTTGTTCCGTTGGTAGGGACCGGCGAAGGGTTTTTGCACAATGTCAAAGACACATTGCGTCGATCGAGTCATACTCCGGCTCCCGTCCCTCTGGCAGCCATGACGACGCGTACGCGTACGCCATCGAGATCATCACAGAGACCGTCACTCAACCTAAACGATCCCCATGTGGTGGATGAGCTGAGGAGGCAGATTACGAGCTTCGTCTTCGCCGAGTCTTCAGAGGGCATATCGGCAGATGCACGATTGTTCATGAAGAAACCTCGATCCGTCGCTTGGTGCTCACCAAGCCTTCTTTGGGACGATATAGACTACGCAGTTCTTCTGCTTTCGAAGATCATCAGCGAGGACGATCGGCTGATTGGCAGCAGTAGAGTGTGCATGATTGACACTTTTCATGCGCAAGAGGACAGCATGGTCGGCGAAAAGGGGAAGCAGTGGTTCGACGCATGCTGGGCTGCTACTCCTGGAGATAGAAACACCGCCCGCATACCAGTACCGGTAACGATTACACAAGGAGCTAGTGCCATATCATCCAAAAGCTACACATACAGGAGCATGACGGTTCCAGGCACGGAACACAACCTACTCATGGACCCATCCTTCGGTGCTAGCGAGCTATGGCTACAGAGAGTCCGAGAAGCATTCCCTATATTGACGAATGTTTGAGGGCCTATCCTCTTCCTCTCCACGCTTTCCGCTAATCAGTAACACGTGACACAGGTTGATGCCGGAGAGGACGCAACGTCGATTTCCGCCACGGGCTCAGAAGGCGAAGACAAGAGGAGAAGATTCCGATTCTTCATAGGTCGATTGGCGCATGTAACGCGTGGTGTGACAGCGCAAGGCCCTCCTCTTCCGCGATCAGGTCTTTCTCAGAGCTCCCTCCTAGTCAGCTCAAGGTCAGGCAGGGGTTGCTCGTCAGCTGAAGAGGAGATCTCGCTGTACTAGCTTCTGTGGGCGTTTGGGGACATGATGTGAAGTAGAACCAGCGCAAGCCGCGTTTCTCTCTAGAATGTAAAATCATTGTATAGTCATAGTATGTGAGTTATGAAGGCTTGTGCCTGGGACTGCCGGAAATATGCCAAGAATATCTCGGAAATAATGTTCGAGTCAACAGACTTGAAGCCGAAACGCCGACTGACGTCTTCCACGATTTACCCCACGCGACGGGATCTACCGGTACAACACAGTCCCAAGCGTCCAACATGGCCGATGAAATGCAAATCAGCCCTCAACGCGCAAAACAACTCGCAGAGAACATTGCGGGCATATCCTCACGCATCGATGCCGTGAGCAAAGGCGGCAAGCAAGTACATTAGATCCCAGTCCCCAACACCTACACGCATGCGCTTACACAGTTACCCACAACCAGGTCCGCCTCATCGCCGTATCCAAGCTCAAGCCCGCAAACGATATCCTCGCGCTCCACCAGCCCCCCAATCCCATACAAACCCACTTTGGCGAAAACTACGTCCAAGAACTCCTCGAAAAGGCCAAACTCCTACCCCGCTCCATCCAATGGCACATGATCGGCGGCCTCCAATCCAACAAATGCAAGGCCCTCGCCGAGCAAATCCCCAACCTCTGGTGCGTCAGCAGCGTCGACACGGAGAAGAAAGCCAACGAGCTTGAAAAAGGGCGCAAAGCCCTGCTAGACCACGACCCGAGCGCACCCAAACTCCGCATCAAAATCCAAGTCAACACCTCTGGCGAAGCCTCCAAGTCCGGCGTCGAACCCGCTCACACACTCGCCCTCTGCACACACGTCCTCGAGCACTGTCCCCATCTCCAGCTCTCGGGCCTCATGACGATTGGTGCTATCGCGCGCAGCAAGGCCACCACGCCTGAGACGGAAAATGAGGATTTCGTTGCGCTGAGGGAGACGCGGAATCGGGTGGCAGAGGCGCTGGGGTGGGAGCAGGACAGGCTGGAGTTGAGTATGGGTATGAGTGCGGATTTTGAGGGCGCGATTCGGCATGGGAGTGATGAGGTGCGTGTTGGGAGTCAGATTTTTGGCGAGAGGCCGCCCAAGAAGGATGCCGTTGTTCAGGAGCAGGGTGGGGGGGAGAAGAGTTAGTGTGGGAGCGGATGGGAGAGGGGATGAAAGATGTATGTTTATTTTGTTGTACACATGATATGCAACATACATGCTCAAATTCTTCGTTTCAAGAACAAACCCTGCTTTGGTTGACTAACTCGTTCTTACTTTTCACTGCTCCCTTCCCTCTGCTTTCTTTTCCGAGAATATGGCATGTCGTATGTCGCATATCCCACCTCTACAATCTACAATCTCCATCCCCAACATCATCATGCCCAACATCATCTCACTCATCATCTCCATCTTCCTCTCCCTTCAACACCCAACAAACCGTCTAGAAAACACGACTCAATTTCTCCAACGCACTCGCGCCCGCAAACGCAGTTCTTGCAAAGAGCTTTTTCACAACGCGCTTTGACTGGCTCTATGTGTTTTGTGATGAACCGATGCTTAGGGGTGCTTGAGATTTACTGATTTTGAACATGGTGGATTTTTGGATTTCTGGGGAGAGAGAAGGGGAGGGGGGAGGGAGAGGGAGAGAAAAGGTAAAGTGGTAGACATGAACATGCGCATACAACACCTCTCCAGATTCCCTTTCCCCAGACACTGAGATGTTAGAACTGCAGAGCGAGTTTGGGGTCTCTGGGTGGTTAGGTGCACATGGCGTCATTTTCTTCACTCATACACTGAGTGGGAACCCCCCTGGTATCGCATGTGAAGGTGGTTTTTATAGATACGTATTTAGTACTATTGTTTGTGTGAGGTGGAGGGGAGGTGCGTCGATGTAAGTGTACTGGCTACTTGTGTAGAGAGGAAAGGCTTGATTGTTGGATTGGTTGGAATGTTTCTTAGCTCTTAGCTGCGTCGTTTGTGGGTTTTGGGATTTTTGGTTCTGACTTCGGCCACTGTTCGGGCGATGGTGTGGTGAGTGGTGGATGGGTGGTAGGTGAGATATGACCTATTAACCAAGATAATCTGTTAAACTACTTACTCCATCCCCTCAACCTTACGATCCACCCTCAATAACAAAAACCACAGAGCCCCCAACACCAAACTTTACAAACCCACCATGCGTCTCCCGACCACCACCACCTTCCCCATTCTCTTCCTTATTTCCCTCCTCCTACTCACCCCACCCACCCTCGCCAAATCCGACACCTCACCCAACTGCGGAGCCAGGGGAAAGTGCACCATCGCGGGTGAGCTCCGCTGCGAGCAAAACGAAGACGGTCGCTGGATCTCCCGCTGCGATGGGGTCTGCCGCGTTTTCCTCAAGTTTAGCAACGACTGCAATATCGGTGCTCAAGGAATAGGAGCTTAGTTCATGGTGCGCTGGGAACGGCACTGCGTGTGCGGGAGGTGAGTTTTGGTTGCGCACGCTTGGGGTGGGTGGGCTAATATGGGGTGCTAGGTTAGGATTCAGGTCCTAAAATTATTGGGAATTTTGTCTTGAGATTGGTGAGTTTGGTGGGATATGTTGGTTTGGTCTTTGGCATCTGGCCTTTTGGGAATTGCGATATGAGGGATAGGGAGGTGATGATGGCGTAGTGGATCAATTTTTGCCGTGATGATCCATGGATGATTATTTGCAATGCTTTCTCATGTCGCTATGTGAATTTTGAGTTGATTTGCTATTGTCATGTCATGGGATTGCATCTGCCTCGACTGAGTACAGCACAACCTCTTCGCAGGCCCAGTTGTCTTTGTTCAAGCCGAGATCTATATGTTTTGGTTTTCAGAACCAATTCTCCCTATTTCCAATAACAAGATTGATGTGCTGAACAATATGCTATCTCATCACAACCACTGCGTGATATTCCGCAGGTGGAGTCATTGTTCGCCAATCCCTCGCTTTATAATCTTATATTAGACCAAGAATCGCATTTCACAACATATATGAGTTAGAGTGAATATAAACCAGCGATTTGGTGCTTGTCTGAACAATTGAATTTTTGCACGTCTGAGGTATCGATCAAGTTCTACATTGAAATTAAGTCTTGGTTTCAGGCTCTAGAAAGGATTCGTTTGCGAGTAACTCAAATCGGAACCATGCTTGAACAATGGCATCACTGTCGTTACTTGGAATGAAAAGGTAGGGGCCAAGTCCTGATCGACAATCGGCAACCCAGCCCATGATCACCAAGGATGCGCAGAGATGGAGTGTGACGTAAAATTCAATAAAGCAGTCTAAGAGATCGGCTCTGTGAACGTGCGAGATATAACACATGTATGATACGATGCATTCAGTGCACTCGATCAGATGAAACTAGCAACCCAAACATCCATGACCTTGACTTCTTTCCGACCTCCTTGCACACCGTCCAAGCTTGCCTCACACGCATCCCGTAATGCAAGAACCACTCCCCGCTCCCTCTCATCACCCACTTGTTCCTCCACTTCCTTTTCAAAAGAGGAAGCAAGACAAGCAGAGACTTCCCACTGGCCGTCCAACAACCCCTCTTCCCCCTGGACGCGAACCTCATTCTCCAGCTGCCATCCGGCGGCCAGAGCCAGCTCTGTAAGCCGTTTCGGTCCCAGCACCGTGCGGACGTTTGAGATGCTTTCGGATTTACGGCACTCCAGTGCTGCCTGGGTGAGCGCAGCTAGTACGTGAGGCTGGGCAGAGGGATGCGTGGCTACCAATGACCACTCAGCAAGGTGGAGACGTTTGCTGTGCTGCTTGAGGGCACGGAAGGTAGAAAGGATAAGCGAGGGTGAGGAAAAGTACCATAAGCAGTGTGCGAGAACTGTTGCGTCAAACACTTTGCTGTCGCTATGGGACGGCAAGGAGGTGGTAGAAGGAGAGGGGAGTGAGGAGAGGTAGTCTATAGGAGTTTTTTGGACCCAAGTGATTTGACTGCCTAGCGGACCCTGCGAAATGTGATCCTGCGCTTGGCCCAGAGTATAGGGTGAACCTGTGAAAGCATCAGTCCGCTGCTTTCCGCCCGCATCACTAGAGCATATAGCGAGACAGACAAAAGAAAGTGCGTACCATAGTCCAATTCTGCTGGATCGACTGCCACCACCTTTCCCTGGTCACCCAAAGCACATGCAAGCGCAGTCGTACTGTCCCCTTGTCCGCATCCTAATTCCAGAACTTTAGAGCCTGTGGGGATTTTCCAATGCTGCAGGAGTTTCAGGCGGTGGAGGGTTTGGGAGTGTTGGATGCTAAAGTGGCTGGGGTCATGTAGAGAAAGACGCGCGATAGAAGCGGAGTCAAGTTTAGTTGACATATTGTGCTCGATGGCCGTCAAATATAAATCGATAAAGTATCTTTTGCGTGAATGGGCAACGGTTGAGAGAGAGGTTGTGCTGGGGTCGATAGCTTTATGCGCTTTGTTGTACACTTAAAAACTGGGATGAGATGAAAAGGCCGATGAATAAACGATGATGATCGCTGGGTTGTGAATATTGAAGAGAGCAGACTTATATACTGGTAGAGCTTCCTTTGGACCAGCGGGGATCTCCGCGCAGCTCTGCCATTTGAGCTACGATATGGCTCGTGTCAATCGGTTGCTCGACAGGGATCCTTCTGCAATAATAAAAACTGTCAAGACCAATTTTTGTGTTAGCGTCAACCTAGAAACTGAAAATGTAGCACTTTTCATAGCCGCTGAAGGAACGGATATGTATGGGAAGGTCCTTTCGGCTCAATTCAATGTGCTGGAAAAGCCTCATCACAAATCGGGCACGGAGGAGGGTAGTGCACTGAGACTAAAAGGCTACAAATAGTTGTAAAGATGATACACACACGCAATTGATCTATTCTGTATAAGAAATGAAATTGAAAGTCACATAGCCACCATGTCTCGCTTATTCCCTCCTTCTCATCAATTTAAATCCTACTCTCGGCGCCATGTCAAGCTGCATAAAGCTCACGTGGCACGCCACGCGCTGGCACCTAAGCTCTACAGTCAAAGTCTTTGCCTCACTTGGACACGCGAATTCCACTGTTGTGCTGTTTGGCTTGGCCGTGATGTCTAGCACACCAAGCAACTCTCCGCGTACGGGGATGGTCGAGTACGCTAGGCTATCATAATCCAACTCTTCAATGCTGGAAGAAGAGGTAGCTGAGGGCGCAAGCAGCTGCCAGACTTCGATTTGCGTTACATCACCCTTTGTTGTGACGTCCTTGGCACGCCCAGACAACTCAGGAGGTGGCTGCCAGATCAGTGCACAAGCGTTGACGCCGGTAGAGGGGATCGGAAACCGCATAATGGTCGAGTCCTTTTCTTATGTTAATAGCTGAGTAAACACAGTGAATATGTCAAGAGCTGGTTGCAAGCAAGCAAGGAAGAAGAGAGACCTATTATGGATTACGCACCTCGACACTGATATAGACCTGCACACCCTGACCCCACACGGCATTCTTCAACTTCCTGCTCACGCGTGCAATTCTATCCGGCCAAGCATGGTAATAGGCAGGAGGGGTCAAGACCTTCGCGGCCCTCTCCAATCCCAGCCTAGGGTCACCATGTGGGAGCTTCTCTAGCTCAGAGTCGGAAAAGGGGTAGAAGTGGTAGTTGGATAATGTGGCCGGGAGAATAGCAACATTCACTGTTGACAGTAGGGCTAGGGCGAAGGACAAATAAAGGACGACTTTGGGCAGCCTAGAGGACTTGGCCGACGCACAATCAGGGTGATTGTTGGAAGCCTCGAGTAAGGGAGAAGTGTGGTCGTCTTTGTAAGGCTCACTCTGGGAAGAGGAGGACTTTTCCGATGAAGCAGAATCTTCATGATCATGTAGTATGACCGGCGTGTACTTCGATGAGCCGGACTGCTCTTGGGAGGAAAACATGGCGGCAAATGCAGATGTGTTTGACTTGTCTTTGGAGAAGAACATGACTAGGTGCTGACAAAGGGTAGAGCGAGAATGAAGGAAGGAAGAAAGAAAGAGAAAGACAAGCCGTGAGCGATGGCTGGGTTAAAGTGGGCGGCAGCCCCTATGCTAGCAAATCGCCCGGGAAATGGGTCACTGTACGCGTCAGAGGAACTACGAGTCCATAGTGTAGATAGTCGAGACCCCGCCTTAGAAAAGAATAAGCGCCAAACACTGTCTCTTGAAGATGCCTGCGTCGACCTCAACGATCGGGCCGTGTTTTCCTTTTCCAAGGTCCTGCATAGATATAAGATTTCAGCTAGTAAAACTTTGATGTTCTGGAGTAATTAGACAAAAGCTAAAGTTTTCTTCGTCTATGGGACGCTGAATGTCCAATCGATTGGCCGAGAACTTCAGAAGACTTCTCGTAAAGCCAAGGTTTGATGCCAGCGTCCCATCCTTGTCACTAATTTGATCGTTAGAGTTGGGAATCGGCAGTCAGAATAGAGTTTTGACTTGGTAGGATACAGTTGGATCTACGGCAACTAGGTATTAGCGCTAACCACTAACGGCCCGGCGATGTGAACGGCTACAGGTGTATGACCGTGACAGCTCTTTATGACAGGTAGCAAGACTTGGGTGAAACTAAAGAAACTTGTGGAACTTTACAGAGATTGAAGATTAATCGACTCTGGCAACAGATCGTCTAAGCATACTTCAACTTACCTTCGCTCTCTGCACTGTGCTGCACTTGAGCTCAGCCAGCCATGCCTTTCCGCCTCGCTACAATCACCCTCATGCTTACCTACGGTATCAACCTCACAAATGCCGCCCATGCCGGCTTTCATGTCCAGTTCCCATGGCTGTCTCGTGGTCCAAAACCGAAGATCCAGACCGACTTTGATCCTTTCTGCGGTACGTTCCCTTTTAATTCTATTTCCACAGCATTGTTAGCTGATACGGACGAGGGGAAATAATACATAATCCTGGCAAATACGATCACCGCTCACGCACTTTCCTGTCCTTCTCCGGCCATCCTGGAGACCTTGTGACGACCCTCTATACCCGGAATAGAGTGCCCAGGAAGAGAGATGACTTTCCCCATGTCATTCTGCAAGATGTGCCTATTGCAACATCAGGGCAGCTATGCGTAAATGTCACAATACCATTTCCGACAGAACTTGACGAGATGGGAGTCATGTATTTTGAGGCAAGGGATCCTAAGACAGGAAATGTCGAGCACTACGTGAGTTACTCCGGCTTGAAACGATGGTCATTATGCTGATGGAAAAAAAGTGCTCCGACGTCAGGATGGTTGACATGACCGCTCTGCCTGAGGAGCATCCGGCTATGTGTGCGGCCGACAATAAGACGCTCATCCCAATGCCTGATGAGTATCTATAGATACGAGCTAGGGAACTACAACCTCTTCGAATTGCCGCGTGTTGTTCCTCTTGAATGTGCATGATGGGCTTGTTCAAGCGGAATAAATGTACCCAACTGAAGAGAAAGGCAAAAGAGCGTTCTGAGACAATGCATAGCGTTTTGAAATTTTAGATTCTATGAAATAGAATAGTTTAGCATCGCCCCATGAAGTCGAACGCCGTACATTACGCACTTGGTGCCTTCTTCCCGTCTTGACCTGCAATGGCTCCACATAATGGTCCTCTCTTACCTATGCATAGAACATACATCAAGCTTTATGCTGTGTCATGAATGCCTGGGTCACGTGTGACTCTGAAGGGCTTAGCCTCTTGGCGGTGCTTGCCCATAGATAGCTCCCATCCTGCTATACTACAGTACAAAACTGGTTTACAGTAGCTACCGGTATAGTAGACTAAGAAGTAGTTTAAGTAGAAGAAGTAAACCTAAAGAGGGTTTATTATACTATATATTCTATAAAAGTAAACTACTTTAATTTCTACTTCTATTAATCTACTAGTATTACGTAGTACGAACTAGTTTCCTACTAACTATTTAAGTATTTTACCCCTCCTTTCTTCAATCTTCTTCACCACCTACACCTCTACCACCACTGAACCGTCAGGGAGAGTAACCCATTCAAACAAGGAGAAGGGTTGGGGCGAGGTAGTAGATAACTCATGATAAACAAATTGGATTGAAAGGAGGATCGAGGAGAAGAAATTTCCATTGATAAGATGTGTTGGAGAATCAAGTGTCAAGTTGCCTAACGCTCTATCCTATGATCCTCCCCCCCTTTATACCATTATCCCACCCAACTCAAGTTTCAACCTATTCCGACTCAGACTAGACCTTGTTTTCAACCCAACCCACCGTGCCACGGCATACCACCACCTCCGTTATTACCGCCTCCTATTAGTGAAATATTATGACTTATTGTTATATTATATGTGTGTATAGCGTAAAGCTAATCTTCTTCACCCCTTTTAGTCTTAGTGAGGTATTATAGTGTATAATAGAAATACAACTACTTCTTATACTTAATTTAAACCCCTACTATAAAAGTAAACTACTACTTTAGATATATATGGCAGGTTAAACCTAGGTTATTTACAGCTATATAGTAAACCCCTACGTCACTATTCTACTGTAAACAATTTTGTACCGTAGTGCTAGACTAGGACAATATGATCACATTGCACACTGCATTTGGGCCCTCCTCACCGTCGGATACTGCACTTTACATCTCTTTCCAGTGCAGATGAATTGTGATAATAACACTGCTATGCGTAGAGCTCCTAATTGTGCAATCCACCGTCTGGATGTTGGCTTACCTACCCCGCGCAATTGTTAATATAGACTCAAGAAGGTTGCCTGTGATATTGAGAAGGTAAAGTGAAACTAAAATGCATATTTACCCTAGACCATCATGGTAGAAAGACTGGCCAGGCACGATCAAGGCAAAAGCTAAAAATGTTGAGTTGGAGGACAACAAAAACGGGTAATCACTCAAATCGAAGATAGTTAACCTGAATAATGCCATAAAGAAGACCAAAACATGGTTTTAAGTGTTAGATTCTAGCACGGTTAACAAGGTGTATGAAGCCTGGACATTATACACCTCTTTGTAGTACAATAAAGATAGTAGAGACAGATTGATATTCGTAACTTCTACATGTAATATCCTATGTAGCGAACGTGTTTAGTGAAGCCATGAACTTAGGAAATGATGCAAATTCAGTGGGTTGCCAAGGCCACCGTTGTGATTCACTCTGGTATGAACGAGTCGTATGCGTAAAGAGGGGCGATAAAGTTGCCAGTGGATTGCATAAATCGTCCGTAGAGCTCGTATAGACGTCTTTTGACTCCATTCGTGTGATATCTTGGCTGCCCGCGGTTAGGTAGTCGTTGTGCAGGTTCATGCCGTTATCTCTACTATTTTCATGCAAGCTCATCCTTGTCGACACCGTAGACATGACGCTTGGCAAGCTCATCTTTGTCGACACCGTAGACATGACGCTTGGCAAGCTCATCCTTGTCGACACCGTAGACATGACGCTTGGCAAGCTCGTCCTTGTCGACACCGTAGACATGACGCTTGGCAAGCTCATCCTTGTCGACACCGTAGACATGACGCTTAGCAAGCTCATCCTTGTCGACACCGTAGACATGACGCTTAGCAAGCTCGTCCTTGTCGACACCGTATACATGACGCTTGGCAAGCTCATCCTCGTCGACAGTGTATACATGACGCTTGTCAATCGTGTTAGAGCGGAGAGCCAAGTTAGAGGCAGGCACAGCTGCGGAAAGACTGGGGAGGATGTGGAAGCCGAGGGTGGCCAGGCCCATCAGAGTGAGAGAGTAACGCATTGTTGGAGTTTGGTGGTGATTGAATGAATTGATTGAAGGTTGAAAGAGAGAGAATCAAATGATTTGATCGAATGTAGGCAAAGAGAGGAGTTGTCTCGTTGGTGAGATGCCTTTTACTATTCGTCTTCCCCTTAGGTATTTATACATATCAAGATCCTAGGCAAAACAACTACTAAGAAAAAATATTTGGTCTGTTGCACCAAACCTGCACTTGCGTGAAAGGTGAGCACAGTACGGCAGTGAGATCGTACGATTAGATTTGATCATTTTGCACATCACTTCTCATTCTTGGCGAAAATTAAACCCTGATTTTATGAGAAAGATCAACAGTTTGCCGCCTCGGAGGAGATAAAACGCAATCATGATCGAAAAATGGAAATGATATTCAGCCCCAAACAGTTCAACTACAACCTAATAGAGCATGCCCTGCTGTTAGCTTATTTCAAAGCGTACATTAATGGGACTAATTTTACTCGCCTAGAGTTTGTATGTCAGAGCCTCTGTGATAGGGGAAGGGGTGGGTATAGGTAGGTGTGAATGCCAAGAGTGTCCAGAGACACGCCAGAAGTTTACCTACTTGAGCATGAACCTCCGAATATTGTGTGAATCTTTCATACTTACACCTACCTCCACCGGCCTATACCTCACACCCTTCCTTACTACAAAAGTCGAAATTAAAATTCTTCTTAAGCTGAATTACTCTCCTTGCTTTGCGATTGTGAATGAGCCACTAACCACTAAATTCCAACTCGTGGTTGACCGGTAATTGCGTTGTTGAGGACTGCATACTGGCATTTTCAACTTCCAGACTCTTGATAGAGTCTTGTCGCTTCATTTGTTCCCGTAAGATAGAGTTTGAACTCACACAATTATTATAGCAACGAGCTACTTTCCTTACAGAGGAGGCGCACTCGCTACAATTCTTCTTTTGTACTAGCTTACATCCCACAAAAAGGTTCCAGGATCAACTAATAACCCAAAGAGTAAGAAATGGAGGAAAAGTCAGTAAATTAGCCTACATTAAAGATTTTTGCTGATCTTAAGAGATCAAATTAAGTTTGGTCTACAACCGAGCTAAGCCTAGTTAGAACCGGTGAGACACCACAGTGCCGAAATACTTTTTTCGCACGAGTTCGGTGGCTTTAATCTCCTAGCGATGGATATAGGATTTGTGGGGTTGATTTAAGATTTATGTACAGCCTGAGGCCCTGCTCGGGTGCCTGCTGGTAGCGCGGAGAGTTTTGGTGCGGAGCAAGTGACAAACTTCCAAACAGTACTGAATAGGGCCTTGTTTGCGAAAAAGGCTATACTGTGACCTCTGAGCAGCAATCGAGCCACTCAGCTGCGGATATGCTGAAATTCACGCTAGGCACCCGACTAGCGCTTCAGGCTGTGTTGTACGTAGGTAACATGGCATCGCGCTGGCGGCCCGTCTTTGCAGCCTGGATCTTCGGGAACTACTGTAGGCTGCACCAAACCGTTATGTTCCTAATTCAAACAGACTTGAAAATCATGGCTTGCCGACCTCTTACATTGTTATCTCAAGAACTACATCTTGCCTCATTAAAGCGTCACAATCCAAAATCAAGCAGAGTAAATGAAAACGTCCGATTAACTTTCACTATTAGGAAAATTTAGCAGGACATATGCTTCGGTTACAAAGCATACAAGCCGCTCCTCTTTATGCCCGATGATGCAGTGATAGGATTGGCTTTTTTTTTTGCACCAAAAACTTAGATTAGCAACATGCGCTTTGCATTGCACGCATATGATGTGATCTGCTAAGAAGCAAGTACATAGAGGAGATGCACGATGTCATGATTCTGTCAGGCCACGGTGTCTACTTCCACGGCGCCAAAACAACCACAAAGATACATGGAATCTGTCGAAGACAGATTATCCATGAGTAATATAGCCCATATCTTTACAGATTCATTGAGTGAATGGGGGTTTGGGGCTAAGGAGTGGGTAAGTGAGCTATTCAATTAGTCATCTGGAAGTAAAGTTGGAGGAGGGATCGGATGGCTTACCAGTTCACTGCATTGCGGGATCGAACGCGGTATTATCGTTGCGCTGGAGTCGACTATCTTCTAGCGACAAGGTTCCAGAGATGCAGTAGCGAGACGGATGCGAAGTATCTCCAACCTTCACACTAAAAGCCTGGATGGGCGATATGGAAACCGGCTAAGCTTCTTCGATCGCCAGGTTTGAGATATGTGCACGTCGGATTACATACCTGCTACCTTCTCTCCTAAATTGAGACAAAGAAGGTTCAATAGGTTGTCAAGAAATTAGTAGACGACCATACATTGATACTCTGGTGATACCTTGTGCTAGGAAGGTACTGCGATAACTTGGGGAAGCTACGGTGGCAGAGATACAGTCTGTTGTTCGAATGTTCTCCTACCTACAAAACAAAAAGAGAATAATCAAAGGGACACGTATGCGCATGGACTTTATATTTTGAGAAATACGGAGATTCCAAAGAGATTACCCGACTACAGTATACACCAGGTATGGAGAGGCTGCTATGGTCTCGGGATCAGTGTAATTGTTCGTGAAGGCCACAACAAAATTGTGTATACTTTGCCAATGCAAACGTATGCTCAAGCCATAACAGCAATTCGAGCCATATAATGGGCGTAGCAACAATTTTTTAGTACTATTAGAGTTTAACTCTATTCGTCTTTACGAAAATTCCAATTATACTTAAAATTAGAGAGTACGCACTATGGTTCACACGTAGAATACATAAGTAGCCCTTTTTAGATAACTTTACTGATGGTGTACGACTCATTGCTGAACCTGATCCACGTACCTTTCTGTCAAGTCGGCAATCGCAGCGACAGAAGGAATCAGGGCTACATTTTGTGGTCTCATAACTGTCGTTCAAACTTCATTATGAGTGCAGATCCAGTAGTTTGAGGATACTCTCTAACGAGGCAACAAAAAGCCTGGGATTTGCTTCTCTGATTACTAGCGATCCCCATTTTTTTAACGAAAAAACTCTTTTTGATCCAGAGATGATCGAAAAAAGCATATTGGTAGTGCTTCTCCTTCGCGCGACTTGCCCACGGAAGTGAAAGAGTAAGTGAGCGTAGATGTATTAAAACACTTCTTCTACTTGCAGTGTTGAGCTATCTGATTGTCTATCTCAGCTACTGTCAACACACCCCTCTACCAGCGTCGAAACATGTTCCCCAAATCTCTGGCAGTCCACCTATGGGGGCCCCTTCCAGCCTTGATTGTCGGCCTTAGTATTTGTCTTGTGCTTAATCTTGGCGCCCTCATATTCTCCGTGCGTATCTTAAATCGCGGAACACGAGACTACAGTGCGTCATATCCCAGACCCTTTTCGTCACATGCACGACTGAATATCGTAGGCTTTCTCGACGGAGACCGACCTCGCGAGCTCCCTATAAAGGTCGGCACCATCCAGCACGCCTTCCACGACGATCCAGAACACTACCATTTAGAAGGCATGCCCGCATGGGCTGAATGGAACGCGATGCGCCCACTCGGCAAAGGGTACGTCTTTTTAGGAGAGGAGCACTTCGCACTCGGAGTTTCGATGTGGCATCAGATGCATTGTCTTAATCATGTACGCACGGTACTGATCAACGGGGACGACGGGTCGGATCATACAGAGCACTGCTTCCATTATCTACGACAGGGCATTCTTTGCGCCGCGGACACAACCCTGGAAGCGGGCGGCACGCACATGAAATTGGCCAATGGGGATCACGTGGCAACAGGGGTAGGAACTGTGCATACTTGCAGAAACTGGAATCAGGTGCACGATTATTTGGAAAGCCAACATCAGAACCACCACCGTAAACTCCGCCGTGCCGATAGTAAATTCCACGGA